AGAGGAGGCTGAGGGGAGACCTTCTCGCTCTCGGCAGCTCCCTGGCAGGAGGGGGCAGCCAGGGGAGGTCGGGCTCTGCTCCCAAGGATGAGAGGAAATGGCCTCAAGTTGCCCCAGGAGGGGTTTAGATTGGATACGAGGAAAAATTTCTTTACTGAGAGAGTGTTGAAGCACTGGAAGAGGCTGCCCGGGGTGGTCCCCATCCCCGAAGCGTTCAAAAAGTGTGTAGACGTGGCACTTCAGGACGTGGTTTGTTGGTCATGGTGGTGTTGGGTTGACGGTTGGACTTGATGATCTTCAAGGTTTTTCCCAACCTTTCCCACACGTTTTGGGGCTGAACGGGCTGCCTGCGGGCAGGTCTCTGCCCGGGGACGCGGGACGGGCAGGGTTCCCTCGGTGCCGTAGGGGCTGTTGCTCTCCTGCAGATGCCTTAAAGTCTCCTTTCTGCGTCCCAGCTATTTTCCAGCGCATTAGCTGGATTAATCCATTGCGGTTTACATGGGAGATCATGACTGGAAGGAATAAATTACGGTATTTTACGACCAAATACTTTGCCTGAAGCCGACAGTTGCTGGCTTTTAGCGCTGGCTTTTATTGTACGATACTGCCAGATCTGAAAAGCCTTTACAGTTAATTTCTCCAAGCGCTGGAAACCTCTTTTCCAGCGAACTTTATGGAGTTTAGAAAGAGCCGATTCGCTTCGAGGTGCCGGAGCATTGCTCAGGGTAAACACTTCCAGAGCGGGGCATGGCAATTAAGCCCGGTGGTGGTATTTTAATTAAAACGTTGAATTGCAAGCGACGGTTGTAACGGCTGGTTTTCACATTCTTGGTCCCTTCTGCTCTGGCAGATTTCCAGTCGTGTCTGATATGCATCGCGAGACGGTTACCTCGGCCAGCAGCCGTCACCCCTTCCGAATCCTTCGTGACCAAGCAAGACACCACAGGTAACGTCCTGGCGATGCCGGCGGGTCCGGGCTCCGGAGGAGTTGGTGGCCCCGCTGTCGCGGTGAAGGACCCCGTGGCACGAGCGGGGTCCTCTGCTTCGCCTGCTGGTACCGAGGTGGTTCACACCTCCGCTGGAAACACCTCAGCTGAGTTGACACCTCAACTGATCCGACACACCAGACCCGCGCCCGGCACGCAGCCCACCCCAGCTGCCTTGGGTTTCGGGGGCCTGAGCTCGCTGATCGGTGGGACTGGGACAGACATCACCTTTCAGATTCGGGGTTGCCCTCGGCCAGATATTGCTTTCTAGCCACACTGGTGACCTTCTTCCTGGTAGTTAATCATCACCTTTGGACTTCCCTGAAAATCTCTAATGTTTTTCTCTGCTGCTCCCTGCCCATGGGTGTAAGACTCTGCCTGCAGAGCTGCCACGTCAAGGCAGAAAGCAGGTGGCAGGTCCTGCTTGGAGCACCCTCGGGTGTGGGCAAGGCTGGCAGGGTGTAAATTCAGGGACCCCAGCCCCGGAGTAGTGAGGGTCCCTTTGCACAAAGGTGCTTCTTGTTGGGTATATTTTCTAGGCTTAAAATATACCAAGGAATGGATCCTCTACTATATCTTTATTAACACAATGGAAAATGTTAACATATGCTTCAGAGAATTACATAAAAACAAATTTATTGTCCCCAAAAGACAACTTTGAAGTATTAAAATAGACAGTGACAGGTGATTTTTTTTCGTCTTAATTAAAAAATAAAGTGAGATGAAGAGGAAGATACACGTCACATTAGCAAACCACCCTAGAATGCTGATAATGCTGTTCAAAAACGTTGTATAAATAAATCACTACAACTAACCTCAGCAGCAATCAAGCATTTGAAATTTAACAACTTAGCGACTGTAGTGCTTACCTGTTTCTACATACAGGCAATACTGTTTTTTTGGAAATATTGGGGTTTGTATCCACACAAACTCCTTGAACCGCCGTCTCCTTCTGGACCATCTCCTTGCGCGCTCCTGCCGCTGCTGCCCGACAGAAAGAAGAGCGCAGTTTCACATTTCTGGACCTAATTGTGCCGAGGGACTTCTCGTGCTGTGCCTGAGTAACACAATTTCTCTCTCTCTCGTCACCCAGGTAAAATCATCTCCATTGACACCAGTTCCCTGAGAGCGGCCGGCAGGACGGGCTGGGAGGATTTGGTGCGGAAATGCATCTACGCTTTCTTCCAGCCGCAGGGCAGAGAGCCTTCCTACGCCAGACAGCTCTTTCAAGAAGGTAACGGGCTCCTCTTCCTCACCAAAGCACCGTCCTCCTTGCTGGATAAGGGCTTTCCAGAAAAATCTGCGCTGCAATAATAATCCCAAAGTGCCAAAGAGAGAGGGGAAAGGGCCGAGTAACACTGGTGGAGCTCCTCCAGCCAGGAGGTTCCCTCTCTCCCTTCAGGAATTACAGAATTGAGATAAACAGGAGCCGAATACGATTATCTTAATTTATTTTTCCTGTGCCATCCCCAAACGCCATCCCTGGGGTCTAAGCAGAAGCAGAGGAAACTCTTCTAGGAGCGTGTTTGCTCGATCAGCTCCGCCGTGAGCGTCGCTTGTGAGGATGCTCACGACGGGGACGCGGGGAAGGCAGGAGCGTGGGAGCAGGAGGTCTCCCAGCGGGGGCTGTAGCTGCACTGGGGCTCCAGCAGCAGGATCCTCCTGCACCTCCCCAGCCCGGCCGGGCTTCGTCAGCTCGGACCTTGTACGCTGGAGGTTGGGCGATCGCCCTTTTGCAAGCTCTGAGCACTCACAGCTGGGTGGGATTTAGATGTACCCACCTCAGGGCACGGGTTTGGAGCTGGAGAAGGATTTCTGTGGTTAGCCGTAACCCTCTGTGTTTTCGGGGTCCACGGGGTCAGCCAACGCGCAGCGTGTGGGTTTGGTTGTCCCAGGCAGCTCCTTCCTTCTCCTCTGCTCCTTCCATCGTCCTCCTGGTGTTTGTAGGGCCTTGTGGGCTCTGGCTTTTGTTCCTAAGGGGGATTGACGTGTTCCTGGTTTGTCTCCTGCAGTGATGACACGCGGCGCAGCCTTCAGCCCCTCGTACCGCTTCACGCTGAGCGACGGGACGGTGCTGAGCGCCCACACCAAGTGCAAGCTCTGCCGGAGATGCAGCCCTTCATCATGGGCATCCACGTCATCGACAGGTACGTCCCCACTGCAGCTCCTGCGCTGGGAGATCCGAAAATCAAAGTGGCCCTTCCCTAGAGCAGAAGGAGGGTCTCACTGGGGGTGCCAGTTTGATGTGATCCCCTGTGAGGGGCTGAAAACCAGCGCGACGGCAGCTCTGTTGCTCTTGACAATTTGTGTTTTGCAAAGAAGTGGCCCCGGGAGCTCAGGTGGAGGTTTATAGACGTGCTTCACATTTCTGCCTTGCCCCGGAGAACTTAAAATATTTGCGGAGGGAGAGGCTTTGAGAGACGGGCAGGACAGGGGAAGGTGAGGCCGTGGAGCTGCACCGTG